AGCTTTGATTTACTCTGTGGCAGAGCCCCTCCACTGCACCCTAAAGCAACTGCTCGGAGAAGGAAGACCAGAGAGGCGGCCCCCAGTTTTGGAAGGGAGGACCTTAGCTGCGTCACTGCCCAAGCAAGGGAGTACACACACCTGGAGAGGCAGGGAAGTGGGAACATGTCCCACCCACAGCTCCCCCAAAGCACCCCAATGCTCTGGCAATGCATGCCAGGTATTTCCCCACGGACTGAGAGGGCAATTTAGATATCCTCTGTGTGTGTGTGTGTGTGTGTGTGTGTGTGTGTGTGACAGACAGACCAGAAAAGCTGGGGCAAGGCCTCGTGCTGCAAAATCTAAAGCTGCCCTGCTGCCCTAATTCGGTTATTCCTTTCAAAATGTTTCTTTTGATGCTTAAGAAATGAAAAATTGGCAATCTGAGCTCCAAATCCCAATGCTAGCTATATAAAAATGCACAATATCATAAAATTATGTAGTAGTTGCTTACTACTTACAACTTACTGGTTGCTTTTAAATTAACTTTATATAGTTATTACTTTTTCTCTGTAAAAAAGTACATTTAAGTTATTTTCTTCTTTTGAACTGGACTGATTTAACTGAAGACATGCTCAAAGACCATAAATTAAGAGATAAAATAAAAGCAATATATGGAGTTAGAAAATGTTCTTTGGGACATTGAAGGCAATTGTAATTTTTTCCCACTTCCTATAAGCATATAATTTAATTAAACATTTTTATGTCTCTCATATTGCTTGCAATTGGCAAAAATGGTCTTATTCTTTTTTCTTTTTTCAACGCCTTATGTGGTTTGAATTCTATTAGACAATAAATAATATATATAAAATGATAGCATAAAGAAAATGGAAAATGATAGCATAAGGAAAATTAAAATAAAATTAAATAATAACCTCCCGAGCTCATACCTGGTATTTTATCAAACCAATTTAACAATCTTTATGCTATGAGACAATCTGTATGCCACTACAAATCTTGCTTCTAATAGCTTGTTGTTGCTTGATACTTTTTGCCTATGACAGAATGTAACAGAGGAAATTTTAACCTATCTTAAATCATGAAAATTCTTTGGCACTCACAAGCATCAGGCAAACATCTTCCTACTAGGAACCGCCAACATCTAAAGGAGAAAATATTTAACTAATGATCTTCACCTCCTTGTCAAATGACAGCTCATTTTGCCTTCTTTATTTCACACTAGATTGTTAACAAGTTTAGCATATGCATTTCTGGTTCTTTCAAATAAATGTCTTTGAAAAGGCAAAAATCTTTGCGATGTGCTGACTTTCTAGACATTATAAAATGTCAGAGGTGTTGTCACTTAGAATATTGCTTTTAGTTATTACTGCATTCCTCTTTGACTTACACCAAAGTCAGGAAGGAGAGAGTGCTAAGATGATATTGATTGGTGATTTATTCAGTGCTTTTCTAAGGTAGAATGGTCCATCAAACTTTATTACTGTAAAGAGAATATGGATTAAGTAGACCTGAACTGGACACCTCTCTCCTTTTTTAGGTATAAGCCCTTCACTAATTGATACCAGGATCTGATGTATGTATTAAATCTGAGAGACCATTTTTTCCTGTGAGAACAGTTCCACTACTTCAGCAGAAAAAAGACCGAACTTCAGCAAAGTGAACAGAATGTATCAATGCATTCTTTTTTTACCATTTCTCAGAGCACAAGTTTACTGTCCATTTCCTACATCTGATGGCTTACAATCACTCTTAATTTTCTGATACATTTTGGCCCATAAGAGTAAACCTGCGGAACAATATTTGCTTCATTAACATGCTGTGATTTCTCTCAGCATGTAGTGCTTGGCACAGATCAAATGCTTTGATAGAGTTTGACATTTGGCTTAATGAAATATCGTTCTTCTCTTTCTTTGTGTAGTTCTTCCATTTTGAACTATGTCTGTTCTAGTTTTGCATACCTTGAGCTTTGGAAGCACCTGAATGAGAGAGATTTCAGCAAATATTTCATTTCTGGCTGCTTTCAGAGTGAGAAGGACCAGAAATTTCCTTTAATTGGTTGCATTCCACAGATACATTCATGATGTTATTCAGAGAAGAATCAAATAAGAACCTCTTTCTTACCTCCACTATCATTCTGTGTTGCCTAGAAATTCATATTAATTTCATTATTTTACATAATTCTTACAAAGAAACAAATGGAGCCAATAAATATACAACCCGAGATATACTTGTCTAAAAAAAGAAGTTGATCCTGGCCCTTAAGTCCAAAAAAATGAAAGAAGTCCCCCTCTTTTTTTTTAATTTCAGAAGAAAAAAACCAAAACAATACACTATGAAGAAACAGATTATGGAATATATTAAAACTCTGAAATCTGTAGCTGGAATTTCATCTGCCTTTTTCTAAAGTGTTAGATACATGAAATATAAAAAATTTTTGTCTGCCAGTATTTTAGACAATGCAATGACAAGATGGGTACAACAAAATAATCTTGAATGCCATTAATGTAGTTTGCAGAATAAAGACAAATATAGAATACCCTTTAAGAACTTGTAGTAATGACTTATAATTCTTATGCTATAATCAAAGATTTATTTTAAAATAAGATGAAACTATGATAAAGAAATGGTTAAGAATGTACAGACAAGTCTGTACAGCTGTTATCACTGTATCAGGCTCTCAGGCTCTCAGAAATCAGTAGAAAAATATTATTTGTTCAAGACATCCTTTTAGCCCTTAATAAACAGCGTAAGAATAGATTCCAAAAAATAAGAAAAAAAATTTCTAAAGGATATAAATATGCAATTTCTGGCTTATTTCTGAAATTTCTGATTGTCAGTGCCATGCTGTTCTTTACCTCAGAAGTCAGGAAACAAGTCAGAAGAAAAAAACAAAAGAAAAAATGAATGTATTGAGAATGGCAAGAGCTGAAAAATGTTGGATATTTCCATGCTAATGTTTAACAATGTGTGTGCATAAAATCAGAGAGCAAACGAATAAACAGAAAGTTTTGTTTGCTGTTTTGCAAAAAGATGAGAAATACAATACTGATTGATTGTTGCTGGGTTTCAATTTACAAAACAAGTGCAATTGACACTGGCTTTACTCAGCACAGTTTAAAATACATAGATACCTTTACCATGTACTATATTTCTGATGCTCAAAATATTGTGATATACTGCTTCAGCCAGCAAGATCTGAGGATAATGATTGACATGAGATTTCAGGTGAATAGTGACATTCTTCTGCTTTCTTAAATCTATGTATATATGTGTATGTATGTTGACCCTAGCCTGTAATGATGCTGCAGTCATACTTCATGTCCATGGTTATGAGATTTCTGTCCTAGCTTCCTAGAAATGTCCCATTTAGAAAAAAATTACTTTCCTTCTTGTTCACAGAACAGACCTAATGAGCCAGTTGAGTCAGGTAACCCACCAGGATTAGCCCTTTGACATTATACTGAGATGAATAAGGGGGTTTCGTCACTGACAGAACTCATTTGGTTTTAATGATCATCTCTACTCTCTTTCTAAACCTCTTATTCTAACTTATATTTTATGACACACTACAGCGTGTGAAATTTCTTGCTTCCAAACTTATTTTGAACTGTTTTGCTTCCAAACTTTTTTTTGAACTGTTTTGTCAGCCACAAGCAAATTTTTCTGTCACTGAACTTACAGCTCATCTTACCTCTTCTGTCTCTCACATACTGAACCCATGATCTGGATGCAATTTGAGCTTAACAAAACTGTATATAAACCCTTCTTCACCCACATATTCTCATTTCCTCCCTCTTTGCTTCCTTGTAAAGAAAATCCCCCAAGCCATCCGACTCTTTTTTTCCCCCCATCTTTCTTTCCCAGCAAATTCAGGTCATTCCCCTTCATCCTCAGCAGATGCCAGGGTCATCCCCTTGGCTATTTAGTCTCTCCAAGTTTTCTCCCTCAGGTTTGTGTTACATCATATTGTGATTTCTGCCCAGTTTGCCTTTCTGGACCTTGTTATGGACACATGCCAAATACCATTGCTCAGGCTGTGTTTCCTATTTGCTGATGTAAACTTTGATTTCACTACTTTGCCCAGCTGCTCACTACCTCTCCCCTGCTATGGCTCCTCCAGTTCCCCATTTACTATAGTAATGAATTTTGTCATCATTTAAGCACCTCTAATTCTGCATGTTCTTTTTGTCCCTTCCTGAGGTTCATTCTGATCCTTTCTTCCTAATGCCATCATTGCTAGCCATATCTTCCAGTTGCATGCCTTGATCCACACCTGTCTCTGATTTTTATTACACAACTGACAGTTTTAATTAGTACTTCATGAAGATCCAACCGTGTACCCCTTCATATCTTTTTAATTCCAATCTTACACGGAATAAAACAACTTTTAATTCTTGCTTCATAGTGAACACTCTTCCACTAACCTTTCTCTGCTTTTCCACGTCTGGCCAAAATCCTTTTTGACCTTGGAGAGGACCTTACAGGTCATGGAGTCACACGTAAACAATACTGTTACTAAGCAAATGCAGACCTTTTCTGAGCATTCCTCTGAAGAAGTTGCAAGCAAAACTAATTGAATTGGTCTGGTCCTCATGTCATGCCATTCTTTTGGCATGTTTAGGGGTGATCCCTGAACTGCACTCCAAAGGAATGACAGGAAATTGTAAAGACATGAACAAGCTACCAAGGTCAAGGCCATGGTTGAAGCTACCTAGTTCAACTACCTACAGAACGTAGCAAAGGGATACAAAGCAAGTCTGAAGCAAGGGACAGAGTTTTCACAGAAGAGTACAAAGGAGGTTGAACATCAAGAACCAGCTGCTCTCTAGGCAAAGTAGGTTCCTGCAAAAATTTACTGAACTCATGGAGTGTTCTGAACTCCTTTGTGTTCAATGACATCTGCCAAAGGCTTCACACGCTACTAGACCATTCCATGTAAAGAGTTAAAACATCCCATTAATCCATTCCACAACCTGAGGAGTTGTGAGAAAGTGAGTTACCTTTTCTTGGTATTGTCGTCGTGATGAATCCAGGGACTGGATGAGGGCAGTGGCATGGCCAACAAACATGGCATAGCAAGTAGCCCCCACGATCATACTCAGCATTGTTATCCAGAGGTCGGACATGCTGACGGGGGCGCGGGCCCCGTACCCAATGCAGAGCATGTGGCTCATGGCTTTGAAGAGTGCATATGAGTACTGCTTTCCCCAGGAATCGTTCTGAAAGAAAAGAGACAAGTGACTGAGCCTGCAAGCTGCTGGAAAAAAAATTACATTTGTACCTGTTTAGTGGGATCATAGATTGCTGCCTCTGAAAGACTAGTATCCTCTATGTATCCTCTATGTTTGAGAAGAGATATTCCTTCTAAATTAACTAAAGTGTCAGAGATTCTGACAGATAATACTTATCACAGTGAAATGAAATAAAATTGACTATTTTTAATACATGATTACATTCTTAAATGTGGGTGCTATCCTAATTACAAGGAGACTAAAGGTCAATTTTATTTTACAACCCACAGCTGATGGATAAGAAAAAGCTGAGTACTCAGACTTGTCAAGCCCAACAAGGTGATATTTTGTTTTAATATGTGTGTACATACTCCTAAAGCCCTATTTCTTTCTTTTTGGAATTGTAAATTTTAACACACAACCATATTTAGCTTACTAGATTCCTTCCACTTTTCAAGGACAGAAAAAATTAGTATTATTTTTTGTAATATCTGTTTATCCTGATTTTTTTGTTGTTGTTTTTGTAATATTGTGTTTATTACAAGTAATAAATACAATGTTATTTATTGTGTTTATTATTTGTAATAATAATAATGGTAATTATTATCAATATATCAACTGAGAAATAATCTCTATTGAAAAGAAGTCTGTTTATTCTGCGTCATAGCAAACTTATATTCATAGTCAAGTCTGTGAAAGTCAGCTCAAAAAAAAGGTGATGCCTAGGTCCTGAATTTCTAATGTGCAGCTACCCCTCCCAGCCTCTCTGGTAGATTAGAAGGACATGACCTCTTGCTCATAACCTTTTAAAATTGCAAAGATGTTGGCAGTATCCTTTACATAAAGACAGTCAAAGGGGCTGTTCCTAGCAAAAAAGCAGATACCTTAATGCATTCCAAAAAGCCCAGGGACTCCTTGTCAGATTTTTCTGTTTTCCAAGCCAAAAGAATGAAACAGGGAGATGAACAGTGCTTGCAGGCACACAGCACACATGTGAGAAAACACAGTATTTACCACAAAAATAACCGAGAACAAATTCAAAAATGAAGAAGTAAAGAAGGAGAAACTGTGATGACAGGAAAAAGATTAGTCAGTTATATAGTATAGTGTGTAATATACAGGAACCAAAAGTAACAAATTTGTTAACACAGATTTCCATATCAGCAGCCAGCAGTTATATACAAGTTTATGTATGACATAAAAATATTTGTGTCTTTCTGCTGATACAAGTTGCGCTCAAATGCTCTAATTTCTCAAAGAGCCACAAGCTTGCTCTCTTGCCATTTGAATGCCAAGGTTACTAACTATCCTTGTGCTTGACATCTATTAAAATGCTTTTTCTAGACCCCCTATTAGCCTAAATAACTAGAACAGAAGATAAGCTGCCAATTGTTGTATTGCAGATGACACAGCTAGTACTTATTTACTAAATGTAATAATTTAAAAATTAATGGTTTCTCTGTACTTAACACTTGTTTCATGTTGCAAGTCAAATCTTTTTAGATTTGTGAGCTGTTGCTTTTTCACAAGTTAAAATTTTGTGTCATAAAAACAGCTAAGGAATAGGTTTTGAGCGTCTACACTTCAAAAACAAAAAAAAAAGGAAAAAAGAAAAAAATGTCTTAGATAGCTCGAAGCCAGGTAGGTTTCAGTGACCAATAAGGAATATTATTTCAGACTTTCAGACCCTGAGTATTGTTTCAGACCTTTTAAATATACTCAAAAAATTAGTGACTTGAAGAACCTTGTCCAAAAAATATCCAGTTCAGGACTGAACAATCCAGTCTGAGCACAGAAACATCTTGCTGTTGGGGTCATTGCAGATATTCTAATGCAAAGTACCTATTTCTCAGGAAAGCAACTTGAAAATATTAAGGCACTATTTATTTTTAAGACCTTTCCCTCCAGCTGGCATCAAACTCCTTGTGCAGAAATTACTAATGAGGAAATTTTAAGAGACCTGTTTCAAATTCTTTAGCAGTTGTGCTTTATATAGTTTAAATTGGGAAAACAATAAACTGCATGCTAGATAAAATATACCCAGGGTCTTTCAAGGCTACAAGTAGTGTAATTAAAGCCACAGCATTCATAAAGCTGTAAGATAAAACCTTCAGTTCTTGTAGGGCTCCATAAAGTTGATCTTTCTCCTAAGTTTATTAGAATAACTATTATAATTAATTAACCAAAATAAAAGTTAATCTCGATCCTGCCTATGAATATTTGCTATCATATCCTTGGTGTGATAAGTCCCAATTAAAATACCTTCTACAAAATTACATTTTTACACCACAGTCTCTGAGTTAAGCTGAACACCAATGATTTTATTTCTTGACTGAGACATTTTTCAGGTCTGTGAATCACAATTTTAAGTAAAATACCACTGTTTTAAGAAAGAATAAGAAAATGGAAGAGAGGAGTAGCAATATGCAAGAAAATACAAAGAATATTTCTGACCAACTAGGGTAGCAGGGTGAGTGAAAAATAAATTGAATTTATTTTTTTTTAGTAGTACTAAAGAAGTACTACTAGAAGGGAATAAGTAGGAATAAGAGAGCTGTAATGACAGAAGAGAAATAACTAAAAATTTACAATAAAAAAAAACAACGTTAATGATATATGTTTAACTATATATCAGCCCTTTAGATATATATGTTTATACAGACATATATAGATATATCTGCACCAAAGTGTGATCCAACACCTCAGACAGTCACGACTGCACTGAATCCAGAGTGGAGGTCATGTCCATCTCAAATGGCCATTTTTTAATACAAACAGCATCAGCTTTTACTGTGTAGCTTACTACAGACCATGTTACAGGCTAGGCAGATTTCAGGCATTTGTGAATGGATGGTCCAGAGCAGCAGGTCCCCAGACAGGTAAAAAGGCTTTCACAAAAAGTGAATTACAAAAAAAGACCGACAAAGCATCTGAATTCAGCTTGGATTTCTCTGAGGATTTTGTTGCCAAAAATAGCTTGCCAATGTGTTTTTGTTTCTTTTCTTTAACGACGGGCTTTTAGTAAAATCAGGTGCAAAAACTGGTTTTTTAGTTTGCATGGGTATATTTTTTAAAATGCTGATCAGCAAATACCATTGTGAAGGGTGCAGATTTCTGTACAGCTACTTGTGTTGCTCAATGATTTATTCCATATATAAACCACTTAAAAAGAACATTGATTCTAATGTCAAATCGTGTATATCATGTATGTTACAACCAATGTTACAAAATGAAATAATAATTATTTATTTTCCTATTAGTCTTGTATGACCTAAGGGTTTTGCATGAATAACACTAATTTTGCTTCATTGTGAGGGGCTGGAATTTTCCAAACCTTGTTCCAATATGCTGCTCTTTGCTGTTAAAAAGCAGGGTGTGACCATTTCTCTGATGCTGACCTACACTGGTATTTTTTTTAATAATAAGTAATTTTGCACTTGCATAATGAAATTTTTGCATAGCACATTTACAGATAATATCCCTGAGTTAATTAAAGGCCATTCTATGAAACAGAAAATCCTGGTTTTATACAGGCATCTTTTCTTTAATACTATCTTAAATACTAATATTTCTATAATTACATATTAAATGTTTTCCAAATACCCATATTCTATTTTTAAGGTATAGATTAAAAAACTTCAAAAACAACAACAAGAAAAAGCTGGAAAAATCTCCTACCAATTAATAAAAAAGGGCATTTAATTTCTTAGTTGACAATGGGTTGATCACTGTTTCCAGATTAGCAGTAATCAGTTTAAAAAGTTTTAAATTAAATGACATTAATTTGGAAAAACTATTAAAGACTGTAATTTTGAGAAAAGCTGTTTATCCAAGGATTGATTACATAATCTAGCTTGATGACATTCCAAAATCCTCACATTTGTGACAGGAATGGTGACTGATCATTTTCAATTAGTTCTGTAACTATATACATTAACTCCTCAGTTATCTACAGGAATACATTAATTCCAGCGCACTTCTGATCCTTAAAAATCTGTGTCCAAGCCTTTTCCTTCACCAAAGGATGTTATGGTTTCTCCCATAATTTCACATGAGACTGCTACAAATATATTTTTATGTATTAACTTTTCACCTCAAAAGAGATAAATTTATTTCTTTCTAATGGACAAAAATAAAAGGCAAATTGTTTTTCTAAGGGGATTAAAAAAGTGTTTCTATTTTTCTATATAATCTATGGAGGTTTTCATCAGGAAATTTTGTTGTCATAAGACAAATCAATTCCACTCCCATATTGTAGTCATTCCCTCAAGCACAGCTTATCTTTTTTCAGCCATATCCTTGCACTGAGATATAAATTGATTTAGAAATCTTGTACCAATGAGACTATTGCACAGACAGTAATGGTTTCCTCATTTTTCCTCAGTCCCTTTTTTCTTTCTCGTCACAATTACTGCAGGTGTCACAGAAATGAGTCTGTCAGTTTGCAAGGGCGTGCTTTGCAATCATGGAGTAAAGACTGGCTTAATTATTAAATGAAATAGTTTCTACAAGGATTTTGAACTCATCCTCTTTCTCTCTTCAAAACTGAAGCAGAAGTAGGGAAGTAGCTCTTCCTCTCTGAAAGAACTTGTCTTATCACTCACACCCCTTTCTTTTATGCTCACCACTGTCTTCAGGTTCTTTTGAAGGTAAGGAGTATCTGAAGGAAGATGTTGACAGGACATAGACAGTCTCTATCCCAGTAAATTTAAATGTATTAGAAAGCATTTCTGAGCTCTAGAAGTTGATTCCTATGGTTTCACTTTTAGAAATGGTCTAACACTGGCCCCACAGCACTCTGCAAGCAACAGCAATTGTACTTTGGAGCTGGTCTAGGTGAGGAACCCTTCCTTCTAGGCTGCTGGCATGAGCTTGTCCAGTGCTGGAACTTGAAAAATATTTATTCTGTGGATATAATAGGTAGCTCCACAACTAGTCTCATCCCAGTGCCCATCAAAATTGGGCACTAAAATTTACCTGCAACCATG